ACACTTCAAGAATTTGATAACATAATTAATAGTGGTTATTCCACTTTTACACAATATAATAATAATAATAATAATAATAATAATAATAATAATAATATAGGACAGGAGTAAAATAAAACATACACAAACTGGATAAAGATCATGAGAACAATAAGATATGCTATAAAATTATATTCCAATTCACAGACATGTCAATAATGAATGATACATAACTTTAAACATGAAATCAACACAAACACACAAAGAAACAAACATAAAGCAGACCATGAATTTATCTCCAAAAGAAAGAAGTCACAGACAACACAAGCAAAATAGTATTATGTTACAACTGAACTAATACAGAGCAAAAAACAGACCGAAAAACGACAACCAGAAAAAACAGTCCGGGCCATGTGAAATTCATACACTCAAGTCCAAAAGCAAGACCCTTGAAGAGTCTCTTTATTTATTTTTAACCAGCCGTTAAAAGCCCATTAACCCAATCAAAGCCCAACAACCTTACCGTATTGGCTGCTGATTGTAATGATTCTTCTCTTTCTTCTTGGCGGCTGCCAGCCTGGCACTTCTGGCGGCAGCCTCCACGGCAGCTGCTCTTGCTGCAGCATCCATTTCCTTACCGGATTTCTTCTTCTTAACAGACGCCATTTTCTTGAGCTTCTCTTTGACATCAACTGTTGATGAATCCTCGTCAGCATGTTCAGCTCCAGGGATTTTGTCGGGCTCATTGGGTTGGTCTTGAGGCTCCTTTGTCTCTTTGGATGACTTGTCCTTCTTCTTCTTCTTCTTGGCGCTTTTTGATTCACCAGGAGCAACATTGTCCTTCTCGGCATCTCCATTTGTTTGTCCCTCTTTTCTGTCTTTAGAATCTGCAAGGTGAAACCGAAATTGGTAAGAAATGAGATATACAAATCTCACACTCAATAAATCAATTTATCTTCATCTCAAATACGCATTAGACATTTTATTCTTTTCCAACAAATCTCACACAGGAGACAAAATATTATATTAAAGACCATTCAGTTTCGAGGGAGGCATGCGTAGAAGTTACAATAACACACTACAGATCAAGTAGGTTTATTATATAGCCTCATCCCAACTGAAGAATTTGAAGTCATTGATTTCCAATATAATAAAAAAATTCACTGAGCTTCTTCAGTTAATCTCCAAATCCAAAGAATTTCAAATATTTCCAATGATTGACCAGGATCTAAAATTCATCTTATATGATGGCTCGATTATGAATCATCTCCTCAAATCCAAATGCAACATGGTTTGACCAGAATACAAGAAAGATGCAGCCAACTCCCAGAATTACTAAAAGTACCCATGATTTGTTTATCTTGAGTATATTTCCATCCACGAGAAAGAAACATTTTCATACCCTCCTACACAGATTGCCTCTTGACCATCAAACTTCAGAGGCTTCCTTTTTTTGTAATTTAGAAACTAGCTGGCTTTTTAAATTAGATCAAACCTCAAGGGATCTTTTTTAGTTGTCCCTAATGATCACAGTATTGAAGGAAAAGAAACATGACTTACCAGATCTGTCATCTCCAGCTTTCTCTTTCGGGTTAACTCCAAAATCAGCTAGGATAGCCTCTAGCTCGGCCAACTCCTTTTTCTTCCTCTCCTTCTTGGAAAGCTGCCTCTCAGGCTCTTTAGGTGCTGGAGAAGATTCCACAGGATTTTTCAATACTGGCTGAGGTTGTTCTTCGGCCTCTGGTTCTGGGTCGTGCTCGTCATCCACATCATCATCCCCTTCATCGAGAAGATCATCTTCACTTTCACTTTCCTGAAATTATGACTCACAATGATTATCCAAACATAAATGTTATCGAATTTCCGCCATGACATGGCGCTATGGTGTGGCGGATTGCTTCCTAACCACCATTATAAATTTGTGAAGGATGAAGTTATGGCAGCACCACAGGCAAACATGGTAGGCACATTAGCCTTTATGGCGGGATATCAGCCTGTCGCCATTTTCGGCCATCCGCCATTGATAACAGTGCATCCAATTCTTGAATGGATTATTTCATTAACATGAAAAATATTCTGGTGACAAATTTTTTTTGCCATCATCATTTTCAAGCTCATAACTAATCAAAGGGAATCTAAAATTATTGGATACGCAGTATGGCGCGCATGAAGAAGTCCCTTCAGAATCAATTAACAAAATAGCTATGGAATATGCATAATACAAATTACACAATTTCACGACAACAGAAAATAAATATATGGTGGAAAAGGAAAAACGCCACACACAAATGCATCTTTAAAACACTATAAATGGTAAACATAAACATAACAAACCCAAACCATGTATATACCACAGAAGATAGCTCAGTCTCACCTAATATTTCAATAAAGTAAATTAGCATCAAGTGTAACATGGAATTTGATACTAGAAGCATTAATACAAAAAAGTGCCTTTAGGAGATTCGCTGGGCCAAAATCTAGCAACAGACTAAGTTGTTGTGATCAAATATTCTGTGACCCTTATCCATATTACTACAATCACAATTGACATAGCTATATAACGCATGCTCAGCAAAACAATAACAAGATAAATTCTTGGAGTAGGCATACAATTTACACGAACAAAAATGTAACACAACATGTGTGTACAAAACTATTCCACATGATCACGAATGAAATACTTACTGATGAAATATTAAATGTCACAAACTGTATAAAAACAAAATAATGAGTTTGCCACATTCGTCAACAACCTACAATGATACGAAACACAACATCACGGTATGGAGTATTCACCACAGCCAATAGCGCCATCCAACAAATACGGAACACCACATATGACTAACAAACAAAAAATAAAGTCCAATCATAAATACCATATTTCTTATTTCTTACAATATGTACCTCTATGGAATCATGTTTCTGAGTCTCTTCAGCTTTGCTCGAACCAGAAGCACCCCATATCACCTGTGGCGGAGCATTTGTCGCGTAGTAATCATCGTCATCTTCATCATCGATATCAGCCCATGACTTTGATGTCAAAGGCGTCGGAGCCCAGTAAACCTGCTTCTCGGCCTGAGGTGCCCCCTTCGAATCTTTCGACGTGCCCTTACCTCCCTTAGACAAGCCCTTCTCTTTGTCAGACTTCTTCTTCTTCCTCAGACTATCGAGAGCTGCAAAGACATTGGTGTTGCTCACAGTAAAAGACCCCTCGTCCCTTCTATTTCCACCTCCCACCATTTTCAGCTGTCTTAAACAAAAAACTCAAGCGCAAAACCTAGAGAAACAATAATTAAAGATTCCCGATGACCCAGTTACCGAATCCAAAGCTCAGAATTTCAGCTCCCGATTATTTCAGGATTTCGAATTTCAAAAGTCAGTATGTGTATAATAAAATTAAAAAAAAAAAAAACGATAATTAACAATACAAAAAGGGTAAATCCAATCAAAAGGAAAAACACAAAAAACGCAAAACCAAATCTCGGGAAAAGTAATTTTTTTTTTTCAGATTATCCTAAATCCACAGAAATTTAGATTTTATCGTATTGAATTACAGATGCCCGACTCATCAATAATTCGATATCCCGAGCGCTCGACGAATTAGAAAAGGCGAGGTCGAGAAAGCGCAGCTGCTTAGGGTTTCAGACGGAGGAGATTGATCAGAGGGGGTTGGTGTGTGTCTGTGTGTGTGATTCGTGTGCCCTTAATGAGTTGCGAGAGATTCAAATGATACGTATTTTTGTTCAGAGAGAGAGAGAGAGAGAGAGAGAGAGAGAGATAGAGAGAGAGATGTGAAGGGTTTGAGCTATGGAGATGAAGGAGAGAAACTGAGTTGCAGATAGATAATATATGCAGGAAATGAGCACGGGAGGTTTATATACTTGTGGTGGTTTGTGTAGCATTTTTTTTGCTAGTCCTATAGGTTTGGGTTATTTGCATTTTGGACCCGATAATATTTACAAATTGTGGTATGAACCTATTGTTTAGGTGACCGGTGGTTGATGTGCTCTCAAAGTATTTTTCATATTTTTCATATATTATCTTTAATTTGCAAATAAAAAATAATTTTAACTCATCTTAAAATGTATTTTATGATATATATTATATTTGCTCTGCAAATAAAAAAATAAGTTCTTATCATCTATTACACCATACAATAAATAGAAATCCCACTATCACATCTAAAATATATCTCAGTTCATGGGGTTTTACATCCTTTGTATATATTCAGAACGTGTTGAGCTTAAGTGGTAGGCTCGCATGCTCCGAGATCTTATGTGATAACATTACATATTTTAAGCTTGTGTAGATTTAATTTACTTCTAATACAAAATAACTAAATTCGGATTATTATAAATACATTGATTACTTATGATGTTACATGTATTACTTGAATTTTAATATAATTTCTTATTATAGCCGAATTGTAAATGTATTTTAAAATTTAACAACTTTTGTATTTTTTATAAGTTTTAGAAATATAATATCAAATTAATCATCTTATGATGAGCTTCGATTTAACATCCATATGGTATGTATAAAAAAATAAATTATGATTATATTTATAACAATAACAAAATTATTTTTAATATTAATTAGAAAAATAAAAATATTTATCAATTAATATATAACACATGTAATTCACACAAGTAACAAGTATCATTAGTCTAAAATATATAATAATATATATTATGTAAAAAAGTAAATAAAAATTTAAAAGAATTTTTTCTCATAAATTTTAAATTTAAGAATAATTTTTAACAAACTATTGTATAAACACAGTGAGTTCAGCTTATGAATAAACAGAGGCGTTATTCATCATTAGAAGTTAAAAAAAGCAAAAAGAGAACTCTGCAGTCAAAAGAAGTTTTGCGAGACCAATATAGTGATGTCAGAAAATTTCCTGGAGCACAAATAGACATGTCCACGGGCCCTGGTCGGTTCAAAAACCCGACGGGTTGAACACAGTGACTAGCAGCTCGGATCTGTTGACAAAGGGCCCGGTCCAAAGCCGGTTTATGGATAATGAGTAGATGATGCTAAAAGTTATTCTACATCAAAAATGTCTTGTAGATAATAATAGATAGTTTCCATGTAGAATATTTTTCATGGCGCATGAAAATCGAGCAAATCTACAGATGCTCTCAGGCAAGCCCCCGTGATTATCATCCAAGAAGAAAGTCTCATGCACCACAAGTAATAGTACTATGCTACAACTGAACTAAACACACGTCAAAAGCGCTCCGAAAAGGGCAATAACAAGTAGTCAACAACCATAAATAGTCCGGGCCTGGCGGGCCATGTAAAAGCCATATATATCCAAGTCCAAAAGGTAATACCCCTCAAAGTCTTATTCATTTTTAACGAGCCGTAAAAGCCAGTTTACCTTGGCTGCTGGTTGTAGTGATTCTTCTCTTTCTTTTTGACGGCTGCCAGCCTGGCACTCCTGGCAGCAGCCTCAATGGCGGCGGCTCTAGCGGCAGCATCCATTTCTTTACTGGATTTCTTCTTCTTCTTCACGGATGCCATTTTCTTGAGCTTCTCTTTGACATCAGTGGCAGATGAATCCTCGTCAGCATTTTCAGTTCCAGGGGTCTCGTCCGAGGTATTGGGCTGGTCTTGAGGCTCCTTTGTCTCTTTGGATGACTTGTCCTTCTTCTTCTTCTTTTTCTTGGTGGTTTTCGATTCCCCGAGGGTGTTATTGTCATTGGCCTTGCCGGTTTCTCCATTTGCTTGTTCCTCTTTCTTGTCTTTAGTGACATCTACAGGATCAATCGAAAATTGGAATGTTTGATAGAACTATTGTGGTTCGTGCATCAAAATGAAGATAACCATAAAGTTTTGGAAGGACGAAATTAATGTATGTAAACGTACCAGATAATTTCCGGGAGCAGAGCATAAGGTACTATGTAATATATAATAATGCATTATCATTATTAAAGCATAGCAAGAGGGACCAACCTAGCTTCATAAGAAGGAGCGGTATTCATTTCACGCTGTTTTTTAATGCCCATTGGTAGAATGAGGATATGTTTACTTCAGGCTTCAATATTAAAGCATATCAATGGTATAATGAAGGTATGTTCAATTTAAGTCTTTATTATGACTGAAGGAATTTCCAACTGTAACAGCAATTCATTGACCTTGAATGAATGAGTTCCATATTTCAGAGTTCCTGTTTTTAGCTATGTTTTGATTCATGGGGGTGGGATTCAAATTCTTCTTATACTGCGTGATACTGAAGTCATTTCCTTAATCCAAATGCAACACGGTCTTGCTGAATTACAAAAAAGACCCAACAATTTCCCAATTACAGAAAAACCCCTCTGAAAATTCTTGGTTCTCTTACGTTTACGACTTTGCGAGAAAGAAATATTTCAAACCTCCTTCACAGTTTACCTCTTGACAACTTAATTTTGACACTGATTCAAACTCGAGGTGTATTTTTGTAATTTTGAGAATTAGCTGGCTTTTTGGTAGGTTAAAGCTGATGGATACTTTGTTTAAATTTCTCGAAGATGCACATTATTGAAAAAAGGGAAGCAAGACGAAACAATATTTACCAGATCTCTCATCCCCAACTTTCTCTTTCGGGTTAACTCCAAAATCAGCTAGGATAGCCTCTAGCTCGGCAAGTTCCTTTTTTTTCCTCTCCTTCTTGGACAGCTGCCTCTCGGTCTCTTTAGGTGCTGGAAAAGCTTCAACAGACTTTTTCAACACCGGCTGAGGTTGTTCTTCAGCCTCGGGCTCGGCGTCGTGCTCCTCTTCCACATCTTCATCCCCTTCATCAAGAAGATCGTCTTCACTTTCAGTTTCCTGCAATCATGACGGATAATGATCATCCAGACATTCAATTTAGTATTGGATTATTTCATTAACCACTCATATGATCCTAGGAATGTTTGGATAAGCATAAGTTAGCACACCATAGTTACAAAACCAATAGCAGCAGACTAATGGAAATCCTTTGGTGATTACTGAAATCAAAAGAGCCGCAGTTCAATAAGAACATGTTTACTGATACGAGATGGCTTTTTTTTCTTTGGGGGTGGGGGAGGGGAGGAGACGTGTGTTACATCAACGTATAGGAAACAAAAAATGTCGTGAGTGCCAAAGAGAGATTCAATACGGATATACGTAGGGCATTTTTCCCCAATGGGCACAACACAAGAGTCTGAACGTACAAACCAAACCATTTCTAAATTTAAGAAAATGCCATTCAAGGTCCAAATATTTGCAACAAGGATATTTTGAGAAGAACGCATAATACATCAAATCAGGATGCTGAAAAAATCACATTAATTAACAGAAGACAACATTCGTTTGGAAGGGAGATCAAATGAAACATGCTCGAGGTCATTTTCCTTACAACCCAATCAACGTACATACAATGACTTAGGAAGAAATAAGTTCGTTAACATTTGAATGTCGGGCTACTGTTCAACTGGACAGTCTTATCTGATCATTACTTAAAACGTATAAAATACTTCGTTAACTGAAGGAAATGAGGTTAACTAAAGAAACAAAGACATCAATACATATAGATTGATTAAAAATGTTCCTATTTCAAGCGACACAATAAGGTCGGGCAGCACCATTCTTGAACAAAGTGCCATCACAAGACATATTCAGTCTAATTTCTTTTATTTTTATTTTTATTTTTAAAATATTTTTAATTTTATTTGTAAAAAAGTATTAGAGACACTTTGCGCCAGCTTTTAATGGGTGTAATCATAATAACATACAAGATAAGATATATCATCTTTTTTTATACAAAACAAAATGTATGTCAAATTACGGTGAGTTTATAAATAAGGTGCTCATAGCAGGAATGGCAACAAATATCTTTTCCTTTTTAGGACAATGGTGATTCCATTTCTCAAATAAAAAACACAAAGAGCAAACAACTTCATGTTTTGGCTAATCCATCACGTAACACAAAATTCATCACAAAATTGCCTGCTCTAGAAGTTTCAAAATCTTTGAACATGCAAAATGACACGTGCGGAGAAGTCCCTTCAGAATCATTTCGATACAAATATGAGAATTTTCCACCACAAAAAATTACATACCTGACATGTAAGATATCGGATTGTAATTATATTATATAATCCGAGTAAGGTAAAAATACATTTAGATAACAACACCTTTGAAAGAGCATATGTAATAAATAATGTACGAGACGCGTCTAAAACACAAAGATCACAAATGGTAGCTTAGTCCCGGGACCTAAGATTCAACCAATAGATACAACGCATTACAAGTAACCACGTGCAACAAAAATACAAAACACAAACACGATGATAAACAAACAATCCCACATAAACACCAGAGTTTCTCATTTCTTATAATATATACCTCCACAGGATCGTGTTCGCGAGTCCCCTCAGCTTTATTCGAACCAGAAGCACCCCATATGACCTGCGGAGGTGCAGTTGTCGCATAGTAATCATCTTCATCCTCATCGCCGACATCCGCCCAAGACTTTGACGTCAAAGGCGCCGGGGCCCAGAAAACCTGCTTCTCAGACCTGGGTCCCGTCGACTCTTTTGACGTGCCCTTGCCACCCTTAGACGAGCCCTTTTCCTTGTCAGACTTCTTCTTCCTCCTCAGACTATCCAGGGCTGCAAAGACATTAGTATTGCTCACGGTAAATGACCCCTCATCCCTTCTATTCCCACCTCCCACCATTTTCAACCGTCTGCAAAACTCACGCCGAAAACCTACAGAAACAATAATTACTGACAGATTACCAATGGCCCAAATACCCAAATCCAACGCTCAAAACAACTATATCGTCAGTACATAAATCAACCACGGAAAACAAAACCTCAGAAATAAATCTCGGAAAAAAAAGTAAATTTCGTCAGATTCTTCAAATCCACGGGGAACTAAAGCGCAGCAGCTTAGGGTTTCAAACAGATGATACAATTAGGCAATTGAGCTCCGATTTACGATGATGACGTATGCGTATCTGCTTGTGTTTAGTGTGTGCAAATCTGTGTCTGATTTGTGTGCTTCCAAAAGCGTGGCGATAGATACACTGATATGTATGTATAATGTGTACAGAAAAAAAAGGAGCAAAAGGGTTTCAACAATGGAGACGGAGAGGAGAGGTGAGCACGGGAGTTTGCAGATAACATGAAAAATGAGCCCCGGAGGTTATTTATATATAGTTTTTTTTTTTTTTTTTTTTCTAGTCCTAGTATTGGTCATTGCATTTTGGACCTTTATATACTACTTGAAAATTAAAATAATTTCATAAATCGTTGTTTTTAATTATTATTATTATTTTTTTCTACCCAGAGATATCCCCACGTTCATCCGGGATATCGACGCCGAGTCCCAAGCCATCATCCGGCCCACCTAGGAAAACCGACCAACGGTTGGGAAAATGGGTCCATATGGGTCAAGCCAACAGGTCGGCTTTCCACCACCAGAGGTGGGACTAATCCTCTGAGAAAAATAGGGACCCACAACCCTATTTCCACGATAGTCAGGACGAACCCCTGACCTACGGCTTCACAGGGAGTTTCACCCTCCCCTTCGACCAGTTGTCCCCTGGGGGATTGTTTTTAATTATTTGAAAGGACAATTTTAATGGGGAAAATATTTTTTTTTTGTGTGTGTGTGTGTGTTTGTGTGTGTTGTTTACTCGGATAAACCAAAAGCATTAGATATATATGTTATAAAATAATTTTTATTTTAAAAATAAGATTGTGTGTAATGTGATAAACATTTATAACAAGATACAATATTATTAAAATTTTGTTAAGACATTGAAGTATAAATTCAATCTATAAATTTGTTTTTATTTTACGTGCGATAAGAAATAATAAGAAATTTAATTTTTTTTAGGATTAATTACTATGGGTTGAATTTTAAAACAGTATTTTTTTTTAAGAATAAGGGAAAATAATATTATGTTGTTGACTTATATCAAGATTTTCTTGCATCATCCACTTTTCTCTTGGAAAAGCATATTTATCTTCTCAATAATTTGATATGCATAAACATGTACTCATATATTGTTAACTGAAATTCAAGCATCCTTTGAATTTTTATTTTCTCAAAATGTAATCCTTCAACTCTTTTAGGAAAATAACATCATTTACAAAAGCTTTTCCATAATTTGTGAAAGGCCTGACTTACTCAAAGCCTCAAAGTCAAAGAACATCATAAAACAAAAGAAATAAAGTGAAGATAGAAATCAACATCAAATCCACAATCATTTAGGTACAAAAACACAGTTCCAAAATGGTTTCACAACTCAAAAATCAGAAAAATATTACAATAACACATAATTCGAACCTTTTCATCGCTGTGAATATTATCTCTTTTGTCGTAATCATATCATAAAATTCACAAGAAATTCGTCGATAACACATTCCTTATAGCTACACGGCAGTGATTTATAGAGACGAAAATAGTACAAGGATATATTTAGATATAACGCACCCGATTTGCAGATTCTAACTTCAACCACTGTATACATGTATCACATTAGGCCACAAAGAATAGAAATATCATGAGAAAGAAAATCAATACAAAGAAAATCTTGATCATCAGCCACCGATTAGAGGAGATGCTGTTGAGATATTTGAGCAATGCTCCTTGTGCGCCCTCAACGTTCGACAGTGTATCATCCATGTTCTCATCAATCCTAAAAGTAAAACAGAATATAAGCGAATAAAATGTTTTTCTTTGCAAGAAAATCGGGTGTTTAACAAACCAAATGATGTTTGGACTCAGATAGACTAGCTGCACAGGAGTGATTATACATTAGGTCCATTCGAATGTGACTGAGGACTGAGAAATTTTTTAATGTGACTTCAAATAATTCTATATGCTAGAATCATTCATCCCTATATATGTTTGAACTTTGTTCTTCATTTCTTGATTTGCTATTTTTGGATTTGTTGGTGCTAATTGGTCCAAAGACCACCATGTTTTGTAGCATATACAGAATCTTGCCATTGTGTAACAAGTATTTAACAAAATAAAAAAGTTAGAAGACATTTTTAGACCTGATGGCGATTTCTCCTTGCTGGGAAACTAACGTTGCTAGCTGATTGAAGATACTGCTCAGCTCATGAATAGTTGACTCCACGTTTTGAAGAGCTTCGGCTCTACTCTGCATGTAGCTGTCTTGTAGCGGAACCATTTGCTGTTGTTGGTTTTGTTGCTGATGTAGTAATGGCTGAGACTCCCCATCCACCTGATTCCTATTACATGGTGCAATTAAATGTAATTTGTTTGTTTATGTGTAATCATTAATATCTTCAAGCATCAATCAAACATTCTGTTAAACCAAAACCCAAATCACATCTTTTTTAAAACTACTCAAGTGTTCAGCTATCTGGACCATTGATGACATGCTAATTGTTATAAGGGGAATCCAGGGACTTGTCAAGATTACAAACAAAAGACCGCCTAACGCTTCATTCTGCTTTTACTTTGATGGTTAACTGTAAGACTAATAAATGGTGCGGTGGGTGGGTGGGGGCATTTCACTTTATGAAATGAGGAAAATGTTAAATGGAGTCAAACCCCAGGGTATTTTGTAATTTCCAAAACTCGTGGCAGTATCTGTGGTTATACCGAATAATTATATCTAATCAACAGCATGTACTTTTTTAGCTAACATAAGAAGAGAGTCAAAACGCTCACTTGGATGCAAGTTCGGAGGATGAAAGAGGAAAATGTATATTCAAGTTGTGCTCTTACTTGGGAAGCATTTGAGATGAAGGTTCTCTATTGCTCGCCCATGGAAGAGGTGGCGAGGATGATGTTCCGGCAGCAGACATTGTCGCCAAAGGGCGCTGACGAATGAAAGGGTTTGTAGGATTCTTGGAAACTGAGGAAGAGAACAACTGTCGCCTGTTCTCGTGGACCTTCAAATTCTGTTTATACATAATTTATTTATTTATTTATTTATTTATTTTTTTTTTTTTTTGGAAAGAGAGAAGGAGAAGGAGAACATAAAAAGGAAGAGAAAGCATTTAGTGTTCTTGACTTATATGGGAATGTTAACATTAATGGATTCATTGCCATAATGGAAAGTATAAAGTAGAGTTAATAGTCTTTTTATGACCTCAGTTCTCATGGTCAGTACATCCTTGAACTCCTTTGTCGTGCTCATCAGACGATTTTTCAAATCATCAACAACTGTCGTGGAATGAGAAGTTGTGTCGGTGGACATCTGCCCACTATCATTACGTGAGCTGCTGAGGAGCTGGAGATCGACCACCGCAGAATTAAGGGCTGTTATATCCTGCTTAATAACTGCAGTTAGCTCCTGGATTTCCATGGTGGGGTCGTCAAAAACCGACGTCCTTTTTGCCACTGCACAGAAAGCAACGTGTTATGTGTTCCCCAATTTCAATGCTGTCCACTAAAACAACAACAACAACAACATAGTCTTTTTGTCTCAAGCATTTTTTTTTTTTTTTGTCCCAAGCACAATCACTCAACAAAAATATATGCATTTCTCAATATGATGAATGGACTTGGACCAATTTCGCCACCATAAAAGATCAGTACATAGGTTAAAGGCCCTTTTAAAAGCTTACTATGATCTTGACCAAAACACGAGGCCTTTAAGTGTGATTAATCAAACACAATCAACATTTGGGACCTCAGGAAGAATGGATTTGCCCATCCTTTTGCAGCCAGTTAAGACAAACTCATCAAGTTTAGCGTTTAAAATACAATACGGACATTTCTTTCATGAACAATTTATAGACCTAGAAAGCGTAGAGGTTTTGGTCATTCCACCTGGCATAGCTAAATAAGTGCTACAATAACATCAGTGTATACATAATCAAAATGAAAGAACGGGTAAAAGACCATGCTATGTATATCGGCAACTCCACAAATTCTACAGAACTGTATTGATCAACACCCCACGTTGCTGAAAAAACACGGCCAAGCAACTTATTTGGCTAATTTCTGCATAGTCCGGTGTATTCAATCCGACAAGCAATGCTGCATAATCGAACTTTCATTTTATCTAAGCCCAGAACCATAAAATTGGAATCATAAGCTCACAATCTTAATAATTGTTCAGTTATTCTAACACATAAGACAAATCAAATCCGCGCTGAAAACACAACCACATTATGCCAGCTTAGCGCAGAACCAACAAATCGAAATCATAACCTCTCAACCCCATAGATTGCTCATCTTTTTTTTTTTTTTTTAATACAAACGAACAAATCAAACCCTGGACTAAAAACATACTCACATTTTGCCAGCTTAGCTAGCTTCTGCGACGTCTGGTGAATCCCGAACCCGATTCTCGACGCCCTCCGGTTGAACTCCGACTGCAGAGCCACCGCCGACCGCGGCGGCGCCCCCTCCGGCTTCGATCGGCTGCTGCTCGGCCCATTCTGTGTGGATGAAGGCTTCTTCACCCTCTCCGCTATCCTTAGGAACTCCTGCGTCCGATCCCTAATGGGCGCATTACCTGTCTTCATTGGACTTCTCGCGGATCGAAAATTTGATCAACACGGCAATAGCGTGAAAACCCAAATCAAATTTCCTTCAAAAGAAGATTCTCAGATTTTGATATGATGCTGAATGTGAGGGGGAAACAAATTGGGGCAAATTTGAATGGCTTAACAATTTTTCGAAGGAAACTGATAATAAAGAGATGAAGCTCTAGATCTGCGAAGTGAGGGAGGAATACAATCAACAGTGACGATTATGCGGCGAGATTAGATCATAAATTATATGAGAACCCGTGTACTTACAAAATTGAGTTAATTGCCATAAAAACCCTAAGCTTTTACTCAATTACAAAAAAAACTCAAGCTTTTTAAAAATGTAGATAAAATCATAACCTTTATTATTGGTTGCAATTGTGTCTCAATATTTATTTCCGGTAACATGAGCTGACATGGACTGTCGGAAGAATGTGTTGGCGCCGGATTAATCTGATGTGGCACTCAACATATTAACTCGAGTCCACGTCAGCAACACATAGATACACTTGATTTTTCATATCAGAAATTACT